AAAAGGATCACTAAATTAAAATTTTCATTATTTTCATTATTACAAAAACGACATCACATGTATAAATATTAATGCATCTTTCTTCATTATTAAGAAAAAAATAACATCGGATTATAAATTCAAACTCTATTTTGAAAAGTTCATTTTAGTGAATCAAAAACAATTGACAATTAAAAATATCATATAAACACCTGGAACTTCTTTCTTCTTTCATTCGAATTTGAAAATAACAATGAAATTTAACGCAAAAACATTTATTAACCTTTTTAATCTTAAAAAAAAAAACAAAAGATCCTCAAATGAAAAAAAATGGTTGGACAAAGCAATTAAACAGAAAAGAATTAATCTTAAAGATTACAGTATATTTTCTGATATTACTTATATCAATAAAGGTGCTTCGGGACAAATTTATAGAGCTAAATGGAACAATGTATATGTAGCATTGAAAGAAATTAAAGATGACAGTGATATGAAACGATTTGTTTACGAGGTATGACGTTTTTATATTTGTATTTGCAATTAATATTGTCACTTACTAAAATAATCTTTATTTTATCACGTGACTATTTTTAGTTTAGATCACATAAACGAGTTGATTATCACGACAATATTTTGAATATTCACGGGATAACGAAAGGTGATTTTTTCTTTGCATTTAAGAACCAATTGATAAAAAAATAATTAACAATGAATTCTATTTTTTAAATTATAAAAATAGATCCCAACTCGGGCAATTATTTATTGGTTTTGCAATATGCAAACCACGGGACGCTCCAAGAATATTTGTCTGCGAATGCTGATAAATTGGATTGGGAAAACAAACTACGTTTGGCATATCAGCTTGCTAGTGGTATACAAACATTGCACCATGAAGGAATAATTCATCGAGACTTGGTACTTTTTTAATGATTTCTTTCTTTAACAGTAGCATTAACGACATTATTAATATCATCGCTATTACTGCTATAAAGATTATTAATTAAAAAACATTTTTGTTTTCCTGTTTGTTTGTAGCACGCGGGAAATGTTCTTATAGTTAATGACAATATTAAAATTTCTGATTTTGGATTATCAAAATCCAGAGAACAAGTTTACGGGAACATGAGGTACACAGATCTCAGACGTATCAGGTACCCCAAAAATGAGAAATCGGACATCTTTAGTTTAGGAGTTTTGTTATGGCAAATCTCAAGTTGTAGGCCTCCATATGAATCAATTAAAAATTATGAGCATCTTTATCCGTACAATATAAGAGAAAATAAGGTCGATGGAACACCTGAGGAATACTTTGACTTATACACCAGATGTTGGGATGCAGAACCAGATAATCGACCTGATATCAAATTTGTTGTTGAATGTCTTGAAGAACTAAGGAAACATTACACTGTACCAAATTCTAAAAAGAATTCTACGAATGAACACTTACAAAATGCTTCGATAGATCCTAACAATTATCTTGATTTGCACGAACTTATAAATAGACGAGATCTGCGTATGAAACAAATGATGGGTGGCACTAGTAAGAATGATAAATATATTAGTGACTATAACAACAACGGCAGTAATGACGTCACGGTTAATTCTTATAGTCAGCTTTACAATTCTAATAATGACAATGCTTACTATAATTCATCTTTACATTCTATTACAATGTTCATCCCGTCTCCTCCCAAATATAATAATAATAATAACTTTGATTTTCTTCGGCATAACAGCAATGGCAATGATTATAATGATGCTGAATAATGAAATGATAATTAATTTTTTAAAATTGTCCTGAAATAAATTATCTGGCAAAAGCCCGAAGAAAATTTTGCATCTGCTGATAATAAAAATGACAATGATGATAAAGATACCGACGACCAGAAATTGATAAAGTGGATATTATTTATTTGCTACTGCCAATAATTCTATTGAAGATAAATTGATTATGAATAATTCAATTAACGAAGAATCAAATAATTCGGAAATGTTATTATGTAAACTTTTTTCTTTAAAGTTAATTTTTGTATTACTATTGCAGATCATTAATGTTTTTATTTTTTTTTTTATTTTTAGTAAACATTTATTTGTTTATAACTTTATTTTTTTAAACCTGTTTTTTTCATTTCATTTCTATATGTAAATATTCTATAAATTAATAAACTATTTATTGATAATTTATTAATTAATTCTAAAATATGTAAAGTATTTAAAGTTTTTGGATTATAATGCACCAAGGTAATTAACTAAACTGCTCAACATTATGTCGTGCATTTGCTGATAATTTAATAAATAGAGTTACTCTTTATCTATATGCTAAAGAGCAACTTTGACGAATCCAGATTAGTTATGAAAAATTGAACTTGATTCTTCAAAAATTATCGCAACAATCCATTCAAATGCTAGTTTATGCGGCAGCTTGTTAAGCTTTAAATTTTAATCGAGTAATCAATCCATCTGGTATAATTCTAAGAGAAACACTGACTCTTTCGATTAATAATTTATTATTATTTAAAGAGTGTCTGTATGATATTTCTAAAATAGAAGTGTGGCTGTGAAAATATAATATTTATCCATTCATTCAATGAACTCTAATTATATAATCGGATTTTTTCTTACAATAAAATGGAATATGGTAGCAAGCTCAAATGTGAATATATTACTAATTGGGAATTGTGTCAATTATTCAGTCCATTAGCTCAAGGTCGAACCAGTCAGTGGTAATGAAACTATTGAGAAGATGATTAAAAGCATCTAGTTAAAAGCAACAGGTTATGAAATTTATATATTATAAATATCTTTCGATGGATCCTTTATTTAAAAGGTGTACACGCAGGATTACTTGAATAAATGGTGAAAAAAAAAAATATACTGATGGTGGTTATAAAACACCTAGTGAAGATACGATTGCAGTATTAATTAATAATAATTCTCAGAATATCCAAAAGATTAAGTCTCAAGTTTTACAATAAACGTTCAATTGCCGAAGAATTGTTCATTTTTAATGATCATTTAAAAACATTCTCGACCAAGCTTAATAAAATGGACGAAATTCTTTTGATCCTTCAAGTGTGTCATCTATTTCCACTAGATCATTAAATAGAGTTATGATAACATACTAATTAACTGATTAATATTTTATGATGCTAGAATGTAAAAATATATCCGTTTCACGACGTAGGGAAACCATTAAATATAACCCGTTTCTTTAAATTTTAAAGTCGTGCTCGCAGCTCTAGTCACTCGTATGTGACGTAACTGATGTCATAAAGTCCTCAAATTATTACTTACCTTATCATATTCCTTCTCTTCCCGGATTGTCGTTAAACTTAACCTTACAAATTTCTCGAAATGTAATTATTACAAGCGACTGTCAATCAAGTTGAAATTATAGTAATTACAATAGACATCAACCGGATTCAAACCAGGTTTTATTTGTTATCATAGATTGCATTCATTTTTACAAAAAAATGATTGTATTCTCTTTTGAGCATAAATTCGGTTGAAAAGCCTATTTTTTTCCGGAAAGTGTGACCTTTGATCCAATAACGACAATTTCAGAATTTCATTTAGAAAAAAATTTTTAGAGTCACACAATTTAATTTTGTAATTGCAATTAAAAATTTTTTCTATAATAAAAGCTATCATAATTCATAATAATAACAATAATAAATTGTTTTGGATTAAAATTGTATTCATAATCTGATGGTCATGTGAAGTCTCGCTCTTAAATATCTCGAATACCCTATCCTTTTATAGAAAAGCACATACATTTCCTGAGCTTTGACTGCCTGCATTAAAAGGGAATTCAAATATGATTTTTGATTCCAACGCTAATGTTTTTTTTAAATCATATACGGGTGAATACGTGGTACCTCAAATCTACGTTTCCTACGTAGAAAATTCTTTCGTCACACAGACACAAATTATTATTATGTTATTTTTTTAGATAAAATGTTTTTTTTTGAGATGAAAATATCACAAAAAGAATAATATGAATTCATTCAAATAAATTCAATTGTGATTGTGTATTATATTAATATAGTATGAAATTCAAGGCTAACAAATTTGGAAATTATCTGCAGATTTTTTAAATAAGTACAATAACAACTTTTTGGGAATCTACAGATTTACAATTTGTATTAAACATGGCAAAAACTTTAAGAAATTTTTTATCTAAAGCTTAGTTTTTTTTATATTTAATATAAATATGTCATTATCTTTTAAATTAAATCACTTATTAATTGTTATAAATTATATCCGTAATATATGCCTAGAATAAATATAACCTTTAGGAATTACTATTACTATATTTTTTATTTAACTCCTGATAAATTTTTCGATATTAATGTCAATTTTCTGTGTCACACAATTAATTAGAAGAGGATTCTTTTTCAAAATATTTTGATCATGTCAAATACATCGTGACCAACCTGACCATTGAAGAAATCAAATGAATTGCGAATTTGGAAGTGATTTAGTAAAAAAATATCGAATTAAAAAAACTTCGTTTTAGTTATAGAAATTAATGAATATTCTAGAAATTATTATTCTTTACAAATTAACTCACGAGTCCAAACTTTATATATTTTTTATAAACAAGGTCTTGAAAGCGCCAGCATTTTTATTTATTACTAGGCTGGCGAGACGATCTATAAGAAACTTCAAACGAAGAAGATGCATAATGTCCAAGCTGTCCTAAATACAATACTAATTGGGAAAATGTGATTCGCCGTGATTAACTCAATGTGAAAGTACATTGTTAAAATATCACAATTAAAAGCACAGGGATCTATTTCAATTTATTTATTTTGACATGTATTATTATTGTATTATTATTGTATTATCATCATTGTATCGTATGGCAATGTATTGCTGTAATGCGATAACATGTTGCTGCTTAAATTGGAATATGGGTTTGGATTAAAACTAACTAAAATAATTATGTATCATGTGAGAATACCGACCACATGGTTTTTTTTAGTTATCTTTAATTGAGAAAGAAATTCCAAATTATTATTATTTGAAATTGCCTAAATGAAATTTCTTTAAAAATATACCCTGATTACTTAAAGACGTTAATCATTTAAGAGAGATAGAAAATAAAGAAAATAAGAAATTCCCAAATTAAATTTTTTATTATTCTGATGCCAAAACGTGACATGATGCCATGATGTCATATGCACAATATTATCGATACTTTAAAAGGTCATTTTTATTGTTTTGGATGAACCAAAAAGTAATTAACAATCCAGAACATCCCGAAAAAAACTTTATTCTTTCTTTCTTTCTTTCTTTCTTGATGTGAATCGCATTGAAATAATAATGAAGAACAAGAAGGTAAAAAAGAAAAAGTAAATTTCAAAAAATTTTTTTTTAATTTAATTAACAATTATTGATTTCTTTCTATTAGTATGTAATTCTGCTTCATCCCAATCATCTAATTACGGTTCTTTTAGATAATTTTGTTTCTAAATGAACTTTATAACTTAGATGTCCAAAGTATTGATCATCCAGCAACAAGTTCTGGTGGAAATGGATACTGGGAATTATTAAAAAACGATCCTTTCTAGTTTATCATTACAATTATGAAAAAAAAAATTTTTTGACGAATTAATGTATATTACATTTGATCAACCAATAAAAATTGGCATAAATCACATGATATGTTCGTAGAGTTCTCTCTATAACGGCCCGCCTGATTTGGCAAGAAAAGGCCGTTATAGAGAGTTTGCAGATCATAGTCATGTGATAAATTATAATGTGATACAATATAAAGATTTTATTTTATATTTGCATACTTATTCAATGTTAAAAAAGCTATATAGTGTGGATTGTTGTTGTGAGTTAAAATCCATTTTTTTAATTTTTCTTTTAAGATTTTCCAATAATTTAAAATCGTCCTCATTTAATTCTGATTGTTGGTCAATGTAAATTTCTAATGTTGTTTTTATTGTTGACAAGGCTTCTTTATTTGTAACAGGTGGAAGTTCTTCGATTATTTCTTCCTGGCTTTCATTTTCCTCTGGTGGATTAATTATTGTAACTATGTCATTTAGATTTATTTCATCACTTACATGAGAGTCATCAATTTCAATGTATTCAGACGCGGATATAGGATTAGGGAGTGCAAGAGCTCTCTTACATTCAATGAATTTAAAATTGATGACATATTTTCAATTTCGTTGGAATTAATATCATAATCAGGTAAAATCTCAGTTTTTTTTCAGCCGTTAGCTATAGTTTGACTGGTAACTTTTTTCCAAGCTTTTGCTGTAAATTTAATTGCATGTTTAATTGAAATTTATTCATATTCTTGACCATTTCTCTCTTCTTCATAATCACTATTTTTTTTTGCAAGAAAAGTTTTTTGTAGTTCATCTTGAAGCTGTTAATTATCCCGGCATCACATGGTTGTAAAAATTTGTTGTGTTTGGCGGTAAGAAGTAAATTCTTACATTAGTTTAAATTTGTTGATTCAGAAATAGAATGAGTGGGAGCATTGTGACTGACAATAAGCGCGTTCAAATTATTAATAATTGAGTGTGACACACTGAATTTCTTAATTGATAATGATTACCTCAGATCATGATCGTCGGCCGTTATAGACAACATATAAAACATATGAGAGAATTTTCAGAGGCTGGCCGTTATACACTATAGGAAATTTAATTAAGAAAACCGTTATAGAGTAAGGTTTTTATATAGTAAAAATTTGGTTTCTGATTTACAGTGTGTTATAGAATGGAGGCCGTTATAGAGGGGGCTGTTATAGAGAGTGAACTGTATATATATATAAATAATAAATAAAAATCTACCTTTCCGTATATTGCTTTGCAAGCTTGCCTTTGATACTTTAATTCTATCAAATACACCTATATAACAATTGAATAATTTATACAAACTGCTTTGCAACTTTAATTCCATCAAACTTGCCTATATAGAAGTGGAAGATTTTTCTAGTTACGCACACAGCTTTGAATCTAACTAAAATGGAACATTTTGTGATTTTTATTAATTATTATTATCTTTATATGGGGCATGCTGCAACAAAGCCAGACAAAGTGAACATTGGTATTACCAAGAATTTCAGGGATCAAAATTTGTAATGAGATTATTAAAAATCTCCATTTGTTTGTTATCTTTGTTTTTTCCTTAATATTAAGCGATATATAGAATTACTCCTACAGTCAACCCCCCTCTAAGTGCACACTCTCATTCATTCCTGAGCTTGGTAAATAGAGATAAGTGCACATCCCCTCTCCCCTGCACTGCACGGTCATTTTTCATTCCCAACTATGGTGCACGAAGCCTATAACCACCATTTTGCACGTGATTTTTGAAAGAATAGAAGTCCATTTCTGTTGATCCTTTTTTAAAAAATAACTCTGTTATTGCATATATTGAGACTCAAACTTTATCATGACAGAGAGATTTTTTCAAAATATTGATTGGTTATCATGTTCTATTCCTTTTTAGTACATGTATTTTACTATGTTCAAGATGATTTGGCAGTAACATGATTGTCTAAATTTAGAATGATCTACAATTATCATTTCTAAATTTGGTCTTGTATAGATGTAAAAATTACCGCGTCAAAAATATTTATAAAAATTATTTGTCTTATGCCACCAAAAAAAAGAAATTCTCAACTTAAAGAAGCTAGACTTGCAAAAAATCAAAGAACAATTTATTTATTCAAAATACTCTCTCACATGATTTTGTACCAGAAACTGATGATGATGATAAGACTATTTGTGAATCTGATTATGATGAGATTGAAAATACTAATGAGTATGAACTTTCTGATAGTGATGCTGATGATGACAATTGGCATAGTGAGGCATTGGATAATGTGATTGAAAATTTAGATGCATCAATTTTTGAAGTTATGATGCAAAATGCTCACAAAAAAGATTTTTCTACTTCTAATCATCCATTGGTATATATTGGAAATTCTGAAAGAACTACTTATCGCAAAAAGGCACAAAATCAAAAGGATGCTGCAAATTCTATGAAATTAACAAGTTTTTTTTGAAAAACAAAATCTTGATTCATTGGAAAATAATAATATTGCAAGTAATGATATAAATGATAAT